TCCAACGCTTACCGAATTCTGCTTCGGTATGATAGGAAGAGCCGACATCGAAGAATCAAAAAGTCGAAACGTGTTTGTGTTTGTTTATTTTTGAAAAGTTCGCGGTTGTCTTCAAAATTTTGCAAAAATATTTGGGAAAAAAATTTGAGGCGAAAAATTTTCCGTTTCCACCACTTTTTTCTTTTTCTTCAACGGGAAACTTTATCGTATGGCATTGAGACTTTGACTTTTCTTCAACAGTCAACTGCCTTATGATGAGTCGTCCACGCTAGAGTCTCTTTGCATGTACTTGGCTCCCTTCGAGTACTTTGGCAGGTGACTCTTCCCCTCAATAGGAAGGGGGTGTAGAAAGCGTGGGCAGTTGTAGGGGAGGAGGGAAAAAGGGAGAGAGGGGGAGAACATTGGAGACGTAGACGTAGACATTTTGATCTCTGGCAGAGCCTGTGGGTTTTTAAATTTTATTTGAGACGAAGTCTCAAATTTTCCCCCCGTCAAGATATATAAAACTTGGGAATTATATATGGTGTAAGCTTAGCGCTTTAGTCTAGTGGTGGTTTTTGCAAAACAATGCTTAGAGTGTTTTCTTTTTTTTACCCAATTGATAACCATGTTTTGTGTTCGAGTCCTGTCTTTTGCATATCGAGGTTCGCAAGAGTGTGTGTAATGGTTTTAATGAAGAGCACTGATGTATGCTTCGTGGGGTCCGTCTTCAACACCTCTCGCACTGAATTTTTGCAGCCATCGTTCAAATGTTGCGCACTCTGACGCCATAGGAAAAATTAACCTTTGTAGCGTGCAAAAAAGTCAAAAGAAAAAAAGAAAAAAGGAACGAATATCCATTGAAAGCATATAAAATTTCTACTCTAAACTACAGACTTCAATGTTACTTGAGTCCATCTTTTGGCAGACTAACGAAACCCTTGTCGTTCTTGGTGTACTCATCTGTAGCAAAATCAAACAAGTATCTTGACACTAAAGGTCGTGAATATGGAACCAAGTGACTGGCATTGAAAATATTGATAAACGTCAAGTCTCTGTCTTGAAGCACCCATCCGGCTTTTTTATCCTCGACTATCCAATCAGTTCTGTTGTTAGCATCATCAAACCCTGTAGCACCGTTCCAGGTCAAGTTTGACAAGTAGCTTAAGACCCCATTCGAATTGCAAATAATATCAAGATCTCCATTATACACAATTATAGGAATTTGGGACACTATACCCGGCAAAAGCACCTTGGCGGGAGGTGAGTTGGTAGCTGTGAATGTTTCTTGCACTTTAGTGTTGCATTCTGTGAAATTGACAGGATGATTGACATTCAAGTCGTTTTGTATCTTCGAGCTGTTGAGGTATGGTGTAATTAATTCTGTCACTGGGGGATACGACGATCCACAAGATGGAAAAGAGTCACGCAACTGATAATCGTAGACATTGACGCACTGCTGGTCAGCTGGAGCTGATTCGTTTCTGGTAGCATTCAAAATAACTTGCAATATAGAGTGACAAGAAAAGGCATAGTTTTCGTTTGGACTTGCTGCCGTGCCATCAAGGACATCTTGACATGCTTTTTGAGCATCATTTATTTGAGACCAATTGGGGTTTGAATCATCAATCAAGGACTTCTCTTTGAACCAATCAACATAGGATAAGCTCTGCTCGTCTGGTGATACAATTCCGTTTCCTATAAGCACTGCCTTAAGCTTGTATTCATCGTCTCCATCAGTCAAGTTTTCATTTCTTTTAAGTATGGCATCGGCAACATAAGGGATATACTGACCAGCATAAGATTCACCAGCAATGTAAATATCGTTTTGGAGATCTTCGGGAAATAATGCAAAATACTTTTCCAAAAATCTCAAAAAGTAAATTTGGACTTGGTTCAAGTTACGGATTAATTCTCCGTCACTGAATCCTACCATTGGTGGTTGATCAACATACACCATATCCGATACTTTATGCCATGAGGCTTCATTGAC